CAGAAATAGTCTAAGTAACAGGTTACCAGCTGACAATATGTCATCTGGGCAACCTGAATGGGGCTAAATTTCTTGCCCAAGGCTCTTGACATAGTCTATCAGGAGAATGATTAGTGACTTTCCTTCACAGGATGATGACACAGGGTAGGCAGGGAAACCAAGCCTGGGGATTTACCAATTAATAAAGCCGCAAGGACATGACCTTGTTACTGAGACACATTAGAGCTGAGTCATCTGGGCAATGCAAATTATGTCAGCATATTTTTCCTTGGACTCAAGACTACAGAAATGAATATTAATGAGGATAAGTCCTACAGGATGGAAATATATTTTCTGCCTGTATTTTCCCTTGCTCACCTTGTTCACACTTGAAATGCAAGTGAAAATCACAATCATTGCACCAAATTGCAGAAATGCATACTTGCTTAGACCAGTGTTTTTTTCAGCAGTTGTTTGCCTTCCAGCAGTTGTCCAGTAATAGTGTGGAAATATTAGGTGGAATGACTCCCATTCCTAGCATGGGAAAAAGTCTACAAGTAGAGAAGCAAATAAAGATGGCCATTCCACTAGATCCAACACAAGAGGCATGCTCCAGTTCCTATCAGTAAAGCATCTAGTGAAACTTAGGAGGAATGCCTTCTCTGTCATGGCACTTGCCTTGTGGAACAGGCTCCTCCTGAAATTTGCATGGCTTCAACCCTGTGGTCTTCTATAGATGTTTGAAGACTTGAATTTCTTCTCAAGTCATTGACGTTGAGATGCTAATAGTAGGTGCATGTGTTGGTAAAGTGTTTCTATAGTGGCTTTGACTTGTTTCTCTTAAGTTATAATGTATTATATGTTTTTTTTTGTTTGCTGCCCATTAGTAAATAAACAGTTACATAAATTTACCAAATAAGTAAATAAAGAAATAATTCTGTTTCTCCCAGTATTGTCAACAATATTTATGCAAATACATGTTTTTCTCAGAAAAAATGGATTCAATGATTTCAGAGGGTCTTCTCAAAATATATTTAGGACTGGGTCCAATACATTCTTTTCAACTTCCATTTCCAGCTAGGGCTCAAATTATACTACCAGTGAAACAAATGAAAATATATTTAGAACATACCCCCCAAAGTTTGTGAGTTGTGCATTTAAATGATAGTGTTGACATTTCAACAGTCATAAAATTGGATAGAGTGCAAAGTGAAATCCAAACCTGAAACTACATTTCAAAGAGTTGTTTCTTGAAAAGCAAATGGCAGAGGGGTATCTCCATTATTCTGGTGTAGCAAAAACAATAGAACAAAATACATGAAATTCCTTCCCCCACTCCGTTGTGTCTCCTTAAAACTATTATGGTACATGCTTTCATGTACTATTATAGTTCATGAAACACATACCATAGTAAACGTCTCAGCTTTAAGATGCTACAATACACTTCTTTACATTCAAACGCTTAGAAAAAGGTGAACAGTTGTTTATACCATGTGTATGTTGGAAACATTTTTCATACTTCATAAAACTTCATAAGCTAAATTTGTGTTTTTTACCATCTTAAACTCAATGCCATTCACTAATCATACCTTTGATTTGCTTATCTAATATTTATTATATATTTATCATTGCATATTTACCATTACATACCTATTTATGCTTTCAGGAGGTTTGTATGGTTCCATTTCTTTCTTTTTCCTCTTTTTATATACAGGGCCTAAATCATTTCATGAATTACATGAATGAATACAGATTTGACACCTCTGTATCCTAATCCAAGAGTAGGCAGTTTGAATGCAGAGGTGTCAAATCTGTATTCATTCATGTATGAATTCTATTTGTTGAGTTACACCTGGAAAATGGATAAGGGGGTTATAAGACATCAAGTTACTTGTATCTGTAATCTGTCTTTATTCATGTACTTGTGAGTTTTGCCACTTGATCTGCATCTTAGAGAAGGTGTGGTGATTTTAGAGAAACCAAATAAAAATTCACACTGGAAATTCCTCATCCTAGGATAAGTGGCATCAGCTCAACTTAGTTTAAAGCAAATTATAAACAAGATTTTACTATGCCATTTTTCAATATATCCAAGTATTTCAAATATACAAATTATGGTTAACAATCTAGCTGCCAACAGTAAGAAAAGTATAATAGGCTTCATACCATTTCATTTCATAATCTTTCAATCAAATATATCCAATAGCCCTAATTTTAGTGGACATATTATTTCTTTAGTCAAAATATTCAATTGATCAAAAACTTTAAAAAAAACTGACACCTTTTCACAATTCAACCAAAGGTGGAAGAATGTTTCCTCCTATTAACAACCCTCAGTGTTAATCTGGATTATTATGGGACACATGTTCTATTAGTTATGGGGATTAAAAGAATTCACAGCAAAATCTTCAAATGTAATTTCTGCCTATTAATTTCTCAAAGTTTGTTAACAGGCAATTTGAAATTTTCATTACCTGCCTAGTATATGAAAAGGATTTTATTTGAAGCCATAAAAATAGTGTTTTATATCCTAACTGTTGTTCTCTTTCTTCTTTATTATGAGGTAAGGGATTTTTATAAAAATCTCTTAGCTATATAATATCTTTCTACATTTTTATACGATCATTTCTGTATTGTCTGCAAAAGCTCAAAGCTTAGGGTTAGAAGTGCTGCATAACTCTTCCTCTGGATCCAGATCATAACTTGTATAAATTCATTAAAAGAAATTTGATTTTACTTACTTGAAATAGATTTTTGGAGAAAATAATTGGCTTATGGATTCATTCAAATTTTGTAAATTTTCAAGTTCTGCCTGCTGTTTTGACTGGTCTTTCAAGATGAGTGTGATGATTTGTTTTAGTTGCGCAGCCCCATTTTAAACATAACACAAACACACACACACACACACACACACTCCAATCTTCCCATTGTATAAGACAGATGTCCCCAACTTTTGGGCACCAGGGACCGGTTCTGTGGAGAAAGGTTTTTCCATGGTCCGGAAAGTGCATGGTTTTGTGTGCTGCCTGCATCCCACTGATGGGGTTTTGCTTGTTTGTGCAAACTGGTTGCTGGCATGCCATGGCCTGGTACCAGTCCATGGACCGGGAGTTGGGGGACCCCTGGTCTAAGATATATAGAGAATTTTTCTATTGATTTTTGAACATCCTTGTTTAGCATTTTAAGAAATGGACACTAGGGGGAACTAAAGGGAATTAAAGATTACAAACTTGAGTTCCAAATACAAAATAAAGCAACATATTTTATCAATAGACATATTGAAGGACATTTTAAAAAATGGACTCAACATTTATTTTAATAGTGCTGACAGAGACATATCAAAGTATGGAGAGACTATGTCCAAAAATGTTATGGAAGAGGAACAACTTCTACCTGACAAGGTCCAGACTGAGCTGAAAGTGGAGTTATAAAAGACTGATTATAACAATGACACAGAAAAAGATGTTACACTGGAACTGCAAAAGAAACTAATTGATGTCTTAATAATTAAAAAGGATGTACAAACAATAAACCAATAGAAAGACCTGGATGATTTTTTTTTTTGTTGGATTTACAGAAAAGATTTCTTGAAGTTTTGAAGAATTTCGTGAGAAGAAACAAATAAAAAAAGATGAAAATGAATCAAGTTCTACTGCAGTATTTGACTAAACTAAAGATTAAGATTGTTAGAAGTAAAAGGAAGAAATATAAGGTTGATTTATTTGATCAGATTTAAAATAGACATATTGTATCTTTGATAAGCTTTAATGGACCTTTGCTGACACAGGACTTAAAAGATGATACTTTATAGATTGTTTATAGATAAGAGGTGGAATATGGGAAGAAGAGAGCATTTGCTTCATTTTAAGAGGAGATGATAAGTTACTAAATAGTTCATAGTTGTAATGAAGGTGGGAAGTCACTTCTTTACATATTTCTTTTCATTTTCTTTACTATATTTTTATTTTTTTCTTTCTTTTCTGTTTCTGTTTCTTGTTTTCTCATTTTCTCCTTTTCCCTTTCTTCTTTGTTTCCTGTAATTTCTGTTCTTTCTTTTTATTCTTTTATTTTTCTTCAGTTTATATTAGTTTTTTACTGTTGTAGTTATAATTTTTAATAAAATTACTACAAAAACACAAAATGCAGTTATTTATTATTTTTACTGAATTATTCCTTATGACATAATAATAATAATACTTAATTGATATCAATAAATAAAATAAATGAACAATTAATAAATATTAATAAATAAGTAAAAATAAAACTGTTATTTTGTGAAAAGAAGAACGTGTGAATAATTGATGTGCAATACTAGAGAATAATAGAATAGAAGACAAAGAATTGAAGAAAGTCACAAAGAATCAAGAGATCGTTTTGAAGTTTTGATAGTTTTGAAAATCAGAACTGAAAGATTATGGCATAATCTGGCCAAGATGGTCCCAATGGTTATCAGCATACTGGGTCCCTTACTAAAAAATCTTGGATGGAAAGATTTGCACATTGATAACATTTCCATCTGTCAATTACGAAAGATCACATTGCTTGGATCTGCACCTATACTATGACAATACATTACGACATCCTCAATCTTGTGAAGAACTCAAGGCATATGAATGCCAGCAGCAGCTAAAGAACTGGCAGCTGTGATTTTACATTTTTGTATATATATTAATAATGTGAAAAGCTCTTTACTGGTTCCAGAGACCACAGGGGAATCCATTGCTTAAATAAAAAAATACTGGGTAAACACAGCATATTTGAAGGTATTTCTCTCTGCTAGATTTTTTTTTAAGTTCTGTGAAACAAAATATGATGGTTGTGATGATAAATTAAAATGTCAAAAGTGATTGAATTTAAAAACTACAATTTTGTCATGGGAAATTTCAAGGGTTTTTTATTTTAGAAAAAGCGTATATTATAGAAGGTGGCTAGGAAAATCAAATAAAAATACAGTCAAGTAGAATGAATAAAAATGATTTTAAATTTGAGAAACTATTGGATATACTGGATTATATAATAAAAATAACTTATTTTTATAACATTATAGTCATGAGGCTCTAGACATTTTTTGGTTCTATTATATATCAGTCCATCACCAAATTACTTGTATTCTACATAGCAAATCAGGAGATAGCATGAGAAATTCAGTTATGAAACTGATTGAAAAATTAAATAAAACAATAAAAAGTGAAAGTATATGCTGTTGTTCATATTGGATAGATTCTATTTTATTGTATATATAACACAACAGCTATCAAACATTCAGAGAGATATTAATAATTTCAGCAGAAAACAAAGTTGAATAAACGTGTGAAAATCATGGTAAATAAAATAAGAATTCCCAGTCTAAGAAATATAATATTTTTGCTAAGATGTAAACGCCACCATACCAAAGCAGAAATCATTTGTAGCACATAAGAGAATTCCACTTAGAACAAGAAACAGTTACACTTTTATTAAAATTATTTGAACGTGTGTAGCATGAACCTATAAAAACTGTCTTGGAAAGTCATATTGTGATTAATAGTGTACAGTTCTTAAGTCTGTAAAGGATTGAAACCTGAGTCTAAGGATAATTTTAAATTAGTTTTGTATTTGTATTGATTTCTCAAATATATGCGTTGCATTTTGGTTTATGATAAGATCACTTAAGATTATGCAGTTTTGATAAACAATTAAATGTCAGGAAACAAAGTGCTAAAACACAATAAAATCAATATAAGATTAGGTATGTAAATGCATTGGTTACACTGTGGTTGATTGGAGCTTAGTTGAACAAACCTGAATGACTATATCTTGGAAGATTATTCTATATAACAGAAAAACAGAATTACAGAGTTGGAAAGGATCTTGGAGGACTTTTAGTCCAACCTGGGACCCAATTCCACCAGATTTTCATTTTAAACTTAAGTTCCTACTGCATTGAACATTTTTATTAACCTTAGTGTGGATTATTTTTAAAAGTCATCCCAAGACATTCATATGGTAGTAAACATTTTTCTCTGCACATTTCTACCATTATCTTCTGTGGGTACCATTCTTTGCATGCTTTTTTATTCTTTTGATTATGTCTAGATTGCTTGAAGCCCTTGACTGGTTCTATTTCATCTCCAATTAAATAGGCCTTCACACTCAACAACTTTCTTTTGAAAATCTAAGAAGTCAGCAGCCTAAAAAAGGAAATGAGAATTAAACCCAAACTTTTTTTTACTTTCAGTATTTTATTAAATGCATCAATGATCAAAAGTATACACAGTATTTAAGGATAAAACTCCAGTTTTATCCTACATGCATCAGTCTTTCCTTGCTATATTTTTAAACAAAGAATTAACAATGGTTACAATTTCCATACAAGAAAGAACCATGCAAGTTTTAGGAATATTTGGGCCAGGTCTTACCTGTATTTAGAAAGTAGTATCATCTGATCAGCAATACATGATCATGGTCATCCACTAAGACAAAAAAAGGATAAGAAGAAAAAAGAGCAGCACTAGTTAACATTTTAAATAAAAACTTGTAAAGTATATGTAGGCAATAAAACAGCCAGAACATGCAATCCTGTTTTCTTTTTGCATCTAAGATTTATTTCATGGAATGTTGGTTGAAATGACTTCCTTCAGATCTCTTAACTGTGAAAACTCTCACATTTTTTCTATGTTAGTGCTTTTATGTTCCCCTAAAGTACGGGGGTCAAACTCCATTGCGTCACGTGACATATCGTGACATATTGTGACTTTTTTGCATTTGCGGAGCTGGGGTGGGCATGGCCTGCGCATGGCACATCCGGCCTGCAGGCTGCCAGTTTGACACCCCTGCCCTAAAGGCTATCCTTTTTTGGGGAAAGACTTTCTTCTCCTTTCTTCACTTACTGTATATGTACCTTCTGTTATATATGACTGCAATCCCAAATGCTTGAGGCACGTTTTTCAAATAAGTGATAGAAACAATTAAATGTAAAACAATCGTCAAGGATTATCACAGGAATTTGGAACATTTGGGGGGTGCTGATTGAGACATGGCCACAAGTAATTACCATGGAAAGGATGCTGCATAAAAGGCTGATTCATTGCACACAACCAGCTCCTATTTGTACTGAAGGCTGAATTGCTCTATTAAAGGTATACAGCCTGTTTTAATTGGAAGGCAAAAGTGATGTTTGAGCCACCAACCTTAAACTTAAATGTCAGGAATTGAATCTAGGACTTTCTACATAAAGAACAAGTCATCTATCACTGAATTCCCTGAAAATGCTGTGGAAAAATATTGCTGAATCAACATTTAAAAATGATAACAAAACAGAGAGTGAAAAAGAAGCAGTGTGCTGAAATGTCTTTCTAGAACACCTTGAGTAGTCTGCAAAATGCTGACAAAAGAATAGGTTATTTATCCGATATGTTGAATTGGCTGAATCTGGGCATTTTTTTTGGTTTTCATTGGTGTTCATTATTACTATTATTTCATTTCATTATGAATTATCTGTTTCTGTTAATAGCATACATAATCAATATTATTGCTAGAGTATCAAGGAATTGAAATAATTTGGGATATTCCAGTCTAGGTTCTAAATATTAATTATATCAAGGAAACTTCCACAACCTAGGATCTCTGTTTTGTGGACTTCAATTTCCAGAATTTTCAGAAAAAGCCAACTCCCCAGAGTCATTGGGAATCAGACAGCATATAAATTTCATAAATTTTGTAAATAAATAAATGCAAAGAGTCCTGTGGGTTGATGTTATCATATCTAGTGGAAGTTTGGATATCTAGTTCACATCTAGAATTACTTTATTGATCACATAAGCCTTAATACTAAAATAATAAGAACTGAAGAAAGGAAAAATTTTCTGACTCCCTCATAAGCCCAGCAATTTCATGGTGGCAGTAGTGGAACTTTTCTTCTAAATTTCACCGGTTTATTACAAACATGGCGAGAGACGGATGGATTAATTGCCTCACCAGTTTTGAGTCTTCTCTGCAGTTCTTTCAAAGTAAGTTAAAAGTTTAGAAAATGGTGTAACCCTGTCTGCATCCAGGATACCCATGGAAGTATTAGAAACAAGGACATTTTAACATCAGAACTTTTTCCCTGTCAACACAAAAAAATACTATTTCCTACAGCTGTTTTCAACAGGTAAAATGTCTGTTATAGGATTTGACTCTTATAGATATGAATATTTCATTTTCCAAATTAACAAAATACCAAAATCCTATATCACACACACATTTTACTCTGAATATTAAATTCTGTTGAGCTTTTCCAATTTTTGTTCTTTAGAAAATAGTTTCATTTGAGGAAATAAAGCCATTTATTCTCAAAGATAAAAACGAGACACAAAGGGGGGGGGACTTATACTCACCTCATCTTCAGTAAAGCAGATACTTCCCTTATCTTTTGATAAATTGAGGAATGCTTCTGTTGAATAGAAAACAAAATTATTTTGAGGATGGTAAAGAAGACAATACACTTTTTTTCTGTAAATTCAGTCAACATTTGAAAAAAAATACAAGAACTAAAGATTAAACAATAAGTATGCAAGGATAAAACTTCAAAACTATTTTTAATAAAAATAATTTGGAAACTGTATAGAGTAATCCCACACAGGTGTAATCCAGCCCTGGAACATGTTTATTCCAAGCCATGACATGTTCTTCCACTGAAGCCTGTGCTATCTTTGATTTAAAAAAAAAACCCCAAACTTCCTCTGAAATTGCATTGGGTCTATTAGTTGCCTAGAATGAGCTGATCAAATAGCCCCCATCTCTTTGCAGTAAGGGGTGGCTGAGGAGAACTCTAGGGCCAAGGAGAACAATCTGTCCATCTCAAGGGGCTGATGTTAATATCCTCCAACTCTCAATCATGACACTACTTTGTGATGTGATCCAATATGTGAATTCCCCATGTGAGTTGGGCCTTATATAACTTATCATATTTGAAGATTGCCATGGGGGTCATGAACTTCTAAGCTACCTCAGATTCCATGCCAAAGAATATTATCTAGCATATCAGAACTATCTCCAGTACAAAGACATTTTGAATTACTATGTGTAAAACTAGCAAACAACCTTAAGCAACTTTTTAATGTTAGCTATGGAGTAGCATAAAGGGAAAAATAATCAATATTTTGATTATGAGTTCAAGAAAACACCTTTTATTAGGTCTGTGAAAGGAAGCATTTACCTCAACAAAGGACTTCAGGCTGTAAAAGCAACATGACATGCCTCAATAAGGCAAAGAGGCAATGGATTTCCCTCAAACAGTGATTTTCTATAGTGTCACAGCTAAGATATAAGAATACTAATAAGTACTAATACAATTGATAGGTTTGAGCACTGAACAATGACAGACCAGCTATCTTGTTTGCAACCCTGGCAGAGCTTTTTCAATCTCACTTTCTAATCTGCCTATTATTTTAAACTGCCTATTAACCATCTTAAAGCTAGTAGAGATCTCTGAAATAATACATTTGAAAAGTCTTCATTGAGAAAGTTTATAATAATAATAATAAAGTTGGAAGGGACCTTAGAGGTCATCTAGTCCAACCGCTGCTCAGGCAGGAAATTTCAACTCTAAACAAAAGAAAAATTAATTATAAGTTTAAGAACTTTAAAAAGTTGAAATAAACTGCAAAAGCTAAATAGGATTTTGATCTAAGAAAGTTATAAATAGATTAATGGTCCAATAAATTTGGAATATTGACTTTTACTCTAAGATTTTGGAATTAATTTAGCTATCCTGGCTATCATAAGTCATAACAAAGATAAGTGATGTCTTGAGAAACAGGACACTAGAGGTAACCAAAAATTCTAAGTCCAATTTTTAAAAAAGTCTGTTCTTAATGTCAGTTAATACTGTGACTTACAAAACGGCACAAAATGTTGTAATACCTGAAATGTTAAAGGAGATTTTTGAAGAATGGAATCAGGAATTAGTAACTATAATATTATTAACATTGTCAGTAATGATGTTTGCTTCTATGAATAAACTATGTCTAAAAGATGTTAATGAAAATGTGGTACAAGTATTACCTGACAAGACAGAGAAAGTACTAAAAATAGAATTACAAATGACAGGCCAAGAGAATGATTTGGAAAAGGACACTTTACTGGATATACAAAAGAAACTGGCTGTAATTTTATAAATTCAAAGAGAAACTAACCAAGAAAATAACCTGGAAATAAAACAGAATTGAAGAGAAATAAAATTCTATGATAAAGGATTGACAAAATTAAAGATTAAGACTTTTAAAAGTAAAAGGAAGGAATATAAACTTGGTCTATTTGATGAAGGTTAAAATAAGCCCTTTTTTCAAAGTTGGAAGGTTGGAAGTCAATACTTTATATATTTTTATCTTTATTATATTATTTTCTTTTTTTTCTTTCCTGCACTTTTTATTTTTTCATTATTTTTTCTTTCTTTAAGTACAGTTTGTGTTAGTTTTTACTACTGTAATTAAAATTACAATAATTAAAATTTCTTAAACAAAAATCAAATGATGACAATAAATAATGAGTTTAGTTAAGTTACAATCTGGTATGGGGAACAAGATACTTGTATACCAAGTATAAGTATGTTTGGGATGTTGTCCCTTTCTCTGATGTGGGTAACATCAGAACCAATCTATATATGCAAAACCAAGACATAACTCACAACATCAAAGTAAATTGCCGAAGCAATGCCATATTCAAGGGAAGAGGGAAATTACATGCATAAATGGCTTGCTTGCTTGTTTACAGCTTTCAGCATCAATCTGAATACACACTGAACTTTGAAAGGTACATTATATCTTTCAATCATATTATGAATATTTTTTCTTGGTTCTAATTAAACTGCTCTAAACTGACTTCAGTTAAGCTGCAGGCTTAGAAAGCTTAGCCGAGCATTCTCAGCACAAAATAGCTATAGTGTTAATGGTGCTTGAATGTGCTTTTTCTCTTCCTCCATTTACTACAAATGATAAAAGAGGAGATTGTTTTGATTTAGGTATTATTAGCATGATTATCCAAGGAAGAAAAGCCTATTTATTTATTTAACTATCTGTTCTCAATTTAGGTTACTGGTATACTGCCTTTTTTTCCAATTAACTCAATGATCTTTTCCTGAGAAAGCCTCACAGGCAGTGTATAATGCCCTTTAAACTTTCAGTAAAATAGTAACTGAAAAGAATTAGTAAATGTTAGGTGCTTAGCTTGGAAGTGTGAATATTTTTTCAGTAGCTTTTGAAAGATCCCCCCCCACACACACACTGGCAATCAAAGGCACTTTCATTTAAATACATACCCTTTCAAGTGAGAGTGTTTTAGCATCTGTGAGATAGAGAAATTAAGAAGATGTCCTATAATGTACTTTGTAGTCTATGGTTTAAAAAAAGGAGGCTTTTTTCTGAATGTTTATTTTAGCAGTTGTACCTGGTAAAAATCCAGTCTAAGGAAAAGATCAAAGATAGGATAATGAAATAGCACAGATGCAACATCAGTTCTCCTTTTGCCCTGGTTTTCCAGTTCATCAGAACATAAGCAAAACTTTTGATAATCAGGACAAAAGCTTATCTGGCTCATCATTCTGTGACACAGTAGCCAACCAGATGGAAGCTTATAAATTGTATATGTGAGTGGTCTCTTGTACTTCAACTGCTGGTATTTAAGGCTTGCTGCTCATGATTCTATAGGCATCAAAACTTAATTCAAGAGTGACAACCAGATAATAGGAAATACATATGAAAATCATTTAATGTGTGTATGAGAGCTAATGTGGTATAGTTGATGAGGACTGGGGAGAGTCAAGGTGAAGTCCACCTTCAGCATAGATGCTCACAAGTTGACCTTGGGCTGGTCATTTTCACTCAGCCCAGCCCACCTCCTGAAACTGGAGGAGGGAGCCTTAGGTTTACCACCTTGATCTCTTGGAGGACAAATCTAGCAAACAAACACTGCTAGCCAGTTTCATTTCACGTGGCTAAATACAGATCAAGAATCTACACATTATTGCAGAGTACAGATCAAAACTCCAAGAGAATACTTTATTATCTGTTGGGACCATATAAGTACAAATTTGAAAGCAAGCAAACAATTAGGAGGTAGTTTTAGATAAAAATAAAGGCTTGTTACTTCTACTACACAATCTGCTTTAAAGGAAATCAAAATGTTTCAAGGATGTATTTCATTACTCTTTATTTGAAAAGAACAATATAATTATTGTGCCAAAATATTATGCATTTTATTACTGTTAATCATTTAAACTGAAATGGAAGATGTTACTTTCTTCTTTCCCTCCCATAAGGAAAAAGATTACTTTGGTGAAATTCGTACGAAAGGAGTGAGGTGTTTTTGCATTTATTTAGTGGCAAGGTAAACTGTGTGCGTGTGTGTCCATCTGCATGCACATGTGCATGCTCGGTTTACATTTGTCTCATACATATTAATCATACTTCAGCAGTAAACCATTCAGTCACAGTGTATTGCTTAAAATGGACTGACTGCATGCTTTTATTTCACAAACAGTGACTGTCTGTGGAGATTTCTCAGTCATCCACATCATAGTTGTCTCAAAGATGTTTTTTAAAAGGCAGGTGGACTGTCTTCTTCTTCTGCCTCAAGGGGGAAAAAAACCAGTTGCCTTTTGTGAACTCAAAGGTGCTTTTTCGAACAGTAGCAACACAAATTTTATTTATTTATAATATTTAAAAACCACCGATTTCCCTCACATGGAGACCCTGGATGATGTACAAATAAAATGTTAAAAACATAAAAACGGGATATAAAAAAATTAAAATAAGGCAAGAATGGTTAAAAATGACATTAATCATTTATATTGAACTTTCACCTAAATAAACATCATGATAATACTGTTCAAGTTCAGTTTGGGAAGGTAGACCAATTTACTAAAGATATATTTTCTCACAATTGTAACCTTCCACCAACTGCTGTGAAAGAACAGATGTTTAAAACACATATAAGGTTATAGCATATAAGCATTGTCATCTGTTGGCAACTTATATAATTGGAGGTATTGCATTTCATTCTTCCCTCTTATTTGCATTCTGTTTTTAGGTTTCTTCAAGTGAATCCAAGAAAAAGGCACTTTCTGACCCTGAACATCTTTGGTGAATTTGATATTACAAGTAGTCCTCACTTAACAGCACTAATTGGGACTAGATCAGACATGTCAAACACAAGGCCCGGGGGCCGGATGCGGCCCGCGAAGTGGTTTCATGTGGCCCATGAAGCCATCCTGGAAACAGTGAGGGAACAGCCCCCGCTGCCTCGGCCCTGGCCCAGGCCGGCCGGGAGCCAATGTACAATTTTGTGGTGACCATTTATGCTGAAACACATTCAGCCTTAGCTCCACGAGGCCATCTAGAAACAGCGAGGAACCAGCCCCTGCCGTGTCGGCCCCACCCCCTGGGTGCATGCTGGGGAGGTGTCACCCTTTGTGAGGAATGAAGAAATGGAGCATGGCTTGGCGCTTGCCCCGGTCCCACTCACTTCTGCCAGAGACCCTCAGATCTGTCCCACTCCTGCCCAGCCCCCCACAGGCACCCTTGACGCAAACTATGTAGAGCTGGCCATGCCCACCCAGTAAGCCACACCCACTCCATCCACACCCACCCAGTAGGCTGCACCCACCCTGGCCACATCCACCTGGCCCGCCAAGGGCAATCGCAATGCTGATTGCGATTGAGTTTGACACCCCTGGACTAGATTTTTCATATTGAAGCAAAGTGGCCATTGGGAAAAACATCATGTGACCGCACCGCTTAGCAACAACTCTTCCAGTAGTCCTGGTTGTGGTTGTTAGGAAAGGATTCACACATCTCCTGATGAGATAGAATGTGTAGATGACCTTGGGGAATGAGAGAAGAGATGCTATCTAGAAAACAATAGGATAAAAGACCCCCCAGTGGCTTAATAGTCAGAGAAAGAAACTTAGGAATGACCTGCTCTAATGGATCAAGCAATTAAAAGGGGAGATGGAAAATCTGTACTTTCCTACCCGATTATTTTAATGTAGCCTTACAATAAAATAAATTTATTCATTTAATCGTATCTCCTGTCTGGTTTATCTGGGATGACTGACGCCTGCCCTGCATGAACTGCTGGCTCCATTTTGCTGCCTCCTCCTAAGCTGGGTCTCCCTTTGGCAGATGAAGTTCCACCACTCTTCTGTACTCACTTTCACTTCAACACCCACCCCCCCATTTAAAGAGTCATCTCTGCCTTTCATACAGGGCATCTCTACCCTTTGAATTGCAACTGCCATTATTTCTAGGTAGAGAGTGAATAGTCAGAAGATAAATTCCCTGTCAAGATGAAATCTTTTACACATGCACTGTTGCAGGACCACTTTATTTTGCTGCTACTGAGTGCATGAGATACCACTTACTTGCCATTGTCTCAAGACGAAACATACAGCATACAAAATCAGGAAAGTTTATTCTCTGCGCTGAGTCTCCATATCGTAAAACCAGGAGCTGGAAGAGTTTGTCACTGACATACAGGCCTACAAGCAACCATAGAAGAAAAACATATGTTCTCAAATTGACACAGCATAACAATGCTCAGCAGCTGTAAGGATCTGCTACTCCTATCATTTCACGCGGAGCAACTTATTACCTCAACATTGTTTGAAACAGCTCACAAATTGGAAATAAATCTGTATGTGTGATTGGGAATTGCACCAAATTACAACATAAACTACTGATGCTGGATGATTTCAATGAAGTTATTCCTACAGCTATGGGTATTTAAAATCCCAAGTTAAAATTCATTAATGAAAGCAATTTTGATTTTTGTACAAACTAGGAATCTGCAGATCTTTGTGTGTGCATGCTCACATGCATGCACATATCAGGCTACGTTAGCTTAGATTATGATAGCACTTTTTTAAAAAAACAAAAAACAAAACATGCTACTTCCAAGAAGCCCCAGAAAAACAAAGAATGGAATAAAGCTATCAGCACTCTACCTCCTTAAAGCAAGCCAGGGTTTTAAAAAGTTAAAACAAACTGAAAGAGAATCTTCTGTAAAAATACATTTTTAAATATATTTTTAAAAAGTAAATACACACAACTCCACTTTTTGTGAATTGTGGTGTGCTGCTGTTCACTCGATCTAAATTCCTCTGAGGAAAAAAACCAAAATCTGATCCAAGAGGACTTATGGTGGATTTATCCCTGTGGATAACTAAACATAATACTAATTCCAAAAATAAAACCCTAGGATCACTGTAAAGTTTTTAGAAAGTTGAGAAACAGGGATGGGAGATGCTTCAGTGAATAGATTTCACTTGTAGCTACTCAGGCTTCATGACAAAAAAAACAAAACAAAGGGAGCAACTCCAATTGTAATGGATGATTTCGTATATTGAACATTTCATCCATGAATACTTTTACTCCTATAGAAATGAAACAAGTGTTTTTAAGGTGCAATGAACTCCATTATTTTTTTCCCCCTTTTCTTCAAGAAATAATTAAGTGATCTTTTGAAGAACAGAGATTCTTAAGTTTTAAGAATCTTAAAAGACTCTTTCCCATTACAGGGTGTAATACTAAGTTTAGTTCTAAATGAGTTGGTTTAAATCCCCTTGCTGCAGTATTATTGTTCTACTACAGTAATAGATTCTAATACCAATGAAACAAGGTATAGTGAAAGCTAAGGATGGGATACAGGGCAAGCCCAATTATGCAAGTACCCTGAATTTTGGGGTTATTAATATGTGGTGGACTTGTAGGGTGGTAAAAGCATTTTGGATAAAGATATGGTGGAATATTCAAAATATTTTTAAGAAAAAGATAAAGTTTAAGCCACAGTTATTTTTGTTGGGTATTATGGAAAATTTGGATAAAAAAGAAATGGATTTGATGTTGAATTTGATAACTGCTGCAAGATTATTAGTAGCTCAATGTTGGAAAATGGAACGTTTGCCCACTATAGAAGATTGGGCATTTAAAGTTTCAAATTTAGCAGAAATGGCTAAGATTTCTGCCTACGTGAAGGATTATTCACAAGAAAGATATATTTTGGTTTGGAGAAGATGGATAGATTATATTGAGAACAAATATGGAACTAAAAAGTTTCATTTGGTTTTTGAGTAAATTTTAGATTGTTAATGTAGTTTATTTCTTTTTAAATAGTAATAAGATGTATAATTATAGTGTTTAATACGTTTGTTTAGAAGAGAGTTAAAGGATGTTATAGAATTGTTAATTTAATAGTGATATAATGTAAGACAGACTATACTTATTGTATTGTTAACCCTGTGACTGGCTCTGGGAAGCCGGGGGGAGGGAGGAGGGTGGGGAAGGGTGGGTTTTGGGGAGGAGGGGAGTTACATTGTAAAACTTTTAAAAATTTTCAATAAAAAAAAAAAAAAAAGATCAGGCAACTAAGAAGCATTTCTGAGGACTCTTTGCAACATTACTGGGCATGCAATCTGGCTCTCATGTTCCATAATTTCCTTTGCATAAAATTTGAATATCAATAATGAATGTAATGTGGCCATTGTATTTAGAAATAAAGGTTTTACCTGATAGATTTGGAATAACAATCTATCAAAATCATTGGGATCCTCTGTTAGTAATGTACTAAATTCCAATATTTCAATGGATCTGTTTTGTGAATGCATATGTCTAAAAACCTTGGTGCAGAGCATATTCTAATATTCAGTTTGGAAATTCTGTGTGCTCTGATATAGAAGAAACTTCATGTCACTCAGTACCCTAACATAGAAGAAATGACAGTGAAATACAATTGTGCTGCTCAGCTCACTTCCTGTTGTTATAGTTGCTTTATATAATTCCTTCCCCATTGCAAGCTTGAGAGGGTATGAATTCTAGGGTTTGTTTAAATACTTCCTGCATTTGGGAGTGGGAATGTGGGGTGTGAGGATAGGTTTAAAATCCTTTGGCTTTGTAGATAACATGTATATTTTTCCAATCTTTATTTGTTTCTTTACAAGACCCATCTTATATATCATAACCCTAAGCAACTACAATAAAATATCAAACAATAAAAATCACTAATAAAACTGTCCAAAAACCAAAAACTTCTTCAAATATCTCAACTTCTAAATTTTTCTGGGCTCCAGCGTCACCCTTCCCAATGTCAAAGTTTCCATAACAGGAAGACCTGACCTCAGAATCCAGTAGGGAAATCAGATATTGGCTTCCCTTTGTAGCAAATCTGATGTATTATGGAATTTGGAACTATAATTCTGCTTATTTCTAAAAGAAAGCAGTAGGGGTGGGAGGGTGTTTGACATGTAATCCATAATCAACGCCAAACAAGTACTATTTTTTAAATGATTTTACTCAGATAGATAGCCTTGAGGTACAGTATTAACCAGATTGATGGTTTCTCTTCTAAGAAGCCTAGAATATTTGCTAAATGGAGAACAGGAAAAGAATCTTATTTGGGGTTATGCTTTCCACTGTTTCAGCAAAAGAAGCAGACTTTGCTATATTTGCCTTAGTATTTTTTTATGCAAATAGAAACTTTTCTTCAGTTCATTGACTATAGTGTTTGCTGCTTGCCTTTAAGGACTGCACAGCATGGAGTTTAACATTCAGGATGATACTGTATTGCTTTGATTATCACAATACCCTCCTTTCATCTCTATTGATGCCGTACATTAATGATAAAAATCATAGTACTCTTTGAGGACTAACAGTTTCCTCCTGCCTTCTTCCTTGTCATCAGTCTCCTCCTCCTTCTCTCTGGCATTTGATTATACTTTTCCTTTTTACTTCCTCACACAGGAAATCAATACTGTAACTTGCACTGCCATCTGGACTTGTAAATGTTCCTCTTAAAAGTACATTAGTGGATAGTAGCATCTTCTGTACAGTATGACAGATTGCATATATAAATGCATCCACCAAACAATTCAGTTACAACTCAGAAACTGAGGAAGTGAACATGAAACTGCAAATAAAAGATTTTCTTTGAAATTACTTTATTGTTCAGTAGATGGCAGTGTTAAGACAAAGAATTTTGAAGTTGCCTTCCATGGAAATGAGTGAAAATTAGAGGAAAATTGAAATCAATGACTTTCCATTTTAAAAAACTGGAACAGAGGAAAAAGCTACCCTGTTGATTTCTGTTTATTTATTTCTTCTTTAAAATGTATCAGACTTCAAAAATAAACCTATGTCCTTGAAAATATATTCAAAGTTATCAAACTACCTGTTTTTTGCACAACTCTTTGCAAATTTGAAACAGTTAGGAATCCAGAATTATTTTCATCCTCTCTTCCAAATATATCCTGAAAAATATTTATATTTAAGATAATATATTAAAACAGGAAAAAATCTATTTGTAATTACTATGGAACATTTTTTTAATGACACAAAGACTGGGAACTGAAATATACTTAGTTTAATAATATAATATTATTAACAGTTTAACAAATAACAGGATAAAAAGATAGTCATGGCAACAGTTAAGAAACTAAGTGAATAAATTGCATACATACCTCATATTTCTTGAAAGCTCTCCACAGTCTTTTAAATTCTTGGAGTGAAAGTTTTCCATTAGCATTTATCTGAATTTATGGTCAAGTTTTAAATCAGGTTTGATATATATATGAAGCCATAGATATAACTGAGGAATAGATATAAACTGAGGAAACACTGATGCTCACCTTGGAGAAGTATCAGAATCTGTATTTTTGCCTTATTAACTACCTATGATGTGACACAATTCTTTCTAAACGGAGAATAACTGAGAATAAATATGGGTTTTAATGCCTCTCTAACCAAAACAAAGTAAAACACATCAGCCTCTCCATGTACAGAGCAAAAACTTGAGGAGAATCTACTTGAGATATTTGCTTTCCATCCAGCAGGTAACACTTCTCTCTGTGTGTTTTTAAATAGGAGATGGATCAGACTGCTTAAGAGACAAATACCATATGCCTCAAACAGCAGACCTGGATGTGTGATAGCTCATATATCTGATCTGCTGAGCTCCCTACGAGAATGCCTCTGGCTTTCCTCACTGGCCAGAGACTGCTGCCCATCTATCTGTCTGTTGTTTAATTCAGCAGGATTTGTAACAGCAGGAAGAAACCTACACAACTCCCTAATCCACAGTACAGAGTAAGGGATTCAGTGCAGTGTCTTCCAAGTGTCTCCTATTTTTTCCTGTTCTAACAGCAAATATTCTTTGAAGTATTTTCAAATTTGATTTTGCAGCAAAGAGAGAGAGAGAGAGAGACAGAGTCAGAGACAGAGTCAGAGACAGACAGAGACAGAGGCAATTCAGAAAGAAATTAAAAGAGAGAGAAGCAAGTAGAAAAGACCATTACTCAACCATGAGGACAACACATTAGGTAATAATGAAGCACGCCACCAAATTTTGGAGCTAATGTTTGAACATCTCTTTACTTTCCAGTATGTGACTGAGGCAATTAATGGTGGTCGCAGAAGCCCTTTAAATTTGCCTTCCACTCTAGACTTTTACATAATTGTTTAAAGGTTTACTCATTGTCAGAGCTCTAAATAAACATTTCAAGGCTAGGACTGCCTGTCTGTCAGGATGAGGCAATTTTGACTGCATCCATTCTATCTTTTTTAACCTTGAGTTTGAAGGTACTGATTTTTTTTATTCCAAGCTTAGAAAATGCAGCAGAATATTAAACATTATCAGATCAGTCTGATTAAAGAAATACTGTAAAAGGAAGGTGCAATAAATTGTTAAAATAGCTACCCAGAGTCACTGGAAGTTGGGTGCCAGACACATTTAATAAATTATTAATATTATGGTTATTTTCATAGTCAGCCAGATATTAGACTTAGATTGAACCATTCCCAAGGATCTGGGATAAGCAGATGTTGTTAAAGATATCGTTACATCACTGTTCCAAGTAAAGGTGCTTTTTGCTATTGAGTGATGGTGAATTCATCAAAGCTGATGGTATTCAAGTGGTGCTCCAGAAGATTTGGGATTGCACTTAAGGTGCTATTACTATTAATACTATCTTTGCTTTCTTTTGCCACAGCTTTTCTACTTATATTTGCATATCATTGTATTTTGTTATTTTCTCCAATTGTTTCCCTTCTGCTGTGTCCAGGTATTACAACTTCACTATCCAAACTTTTTTGTCTTTTCTTATTGACAATTGTTAAGTCTGCAGTGTTATATGGCAGGTACTTGTCTGTTTGAATTTTAAAATCCCAGAGTACTTTAGGGTCTCCCTTTTCTATTATTTTACTTTGTGGTCCCAGCAGTTCTTTCTTGCAGGCAAATGGTACTTCTTGCAGGTATTCCAATACACTATTGTTGCTACTTTGTCCTGCCATTGTGTGTAGTTATCCCCCGTGTGTCACTTTCTTCAACTTTCCTGCTCTTAGCCATTTCCAGGTCTTGTGTTATCTCCTTTGCCTGCTAATTTTTTATGTACTGATCAGATAATGCTTTGTCTTTTTTCTATTCTTATTTTGTCTTTCTTGTCAACTAGTTTGGTCTCTTCAGTATTCAGTAAGGATGTATTAGCTTCAGGGCATCTTCTTCATTATCCTTCATATACTTTTCCAATGCCCTTTTTTCTTCTTCAACTATCTGATGTACTTGCAACTTTCCACACCCACCTATGCTACTTGATAGGTAGAGCCTGCCAATATCACTGCATGGATGAAAGGAATGATTATCGTTATTATTTTCCTATCTTTTGGAGATCATGGCATTGATAAAATTCCAGGTCAATGGAAGAAGGGAAATGATGCTCATTTATTCAGAAAAGAGAGAAAGATGAACCCAGGGAACTAGTAATAATACTAATAAGATTCTTTTTAAGATTCTTAATAGTGAGATTTCTTTATAAGTATTTTGAAAACAATCTAGTTTGGATTTGTAAGAAACAATCTTGCCAAACTAAGCTTATCTGTTTTGTTTTTTTTAAATCTGGCACTTTCATTGTAGGAATGCTATAAATCTACCATCTATTTACTTCAGAAAGGCATGACAAAGTACTTCAAGTCATTCTGATTAGCAAGCCAGTTATGTCTGGCTTGATGGTAATTGGGTAGATGCAAAATTAGTTCAAATAGGAAGTGCTTGTCAATGGTTTCTTATCAATGAGGTATCACATGAAATACCACAAGGGTCAATATAGGTTCCTGTATTCTCCAACATTACTTTGATTAAGAACTGAAGGGAATGCTTCTCACTTTTGTAGACCACACACATTTGGATGAGATAGATAATACGTTAGAAAATGGAAACCTATTTCAAAACAGTCTTTCTAAATTAGCAGAACAGGCTGAAAATAACAGAATGAAAGTTAACAGAAATGTGTTCTTCACTTGGGAAAAAGAAATCAAACATACAGGTATAGAATGGAGGATATCTGGTTTACTGATAGTACTTGTGAAAAAAGTGACAGAAAATGTAGTTAGCTACAAACCATGTATCAGGCACTGGAATAGGGTAGCTCCAAAGGCGATTAAATGGAGGTTTAAGATACAGCCACAGAGGTATGTTTTTTTTCTGTATTTTCTGCATTCTTCTATTGGTACTCTCTTTTGTACATTGAATCCTAACTAGCTCAGTAATCAGCTAGTTTAGTGAGCTAGTTGTATCCAACTAGCTCACTAAACATTAAGAAGCATTCAGATAAATTGGAACAATTATCACAAAATTACAAACTGAGTCCTATGAAGAGAAGAAGGAAGACATTAGATTGAGGCAGGATTGAAATTTGCTAAACAGACAGACAGACAGACCTGGAAACTGGATAACACAGAAGACTCCCAAAGCCTATTTTATACCATCCCAGGACAAAACAAGAATATGTGGCAGAGGAAATCAGTTTCAAGTTGAAAATTAGGAATATCTCAAATATTTTTTTTAAAAAAATGGTGAGAGAACCTTCTCTTGACCGCATGTTCAAGCAGAGGCCATCTGTTACATAAACTTTAAGTTGGATTCTTTTGTGGAGCAGGAAGTTGGACTGGGTGGCCTATATGGCCTTTCTATGATACAGAATCACTGAAATGTTGTAAGGACAATTGGATTGATTAAATGTCAAAATGTTATTAATTGGGATCCCCATTTAGTCTGATGTTTTTATTAATATACAACCAATCCATCTGTGGTTGGTTCCTTAATGAAAGCTTTTATATAGGATGGAAGATTAAATATCCCCCCCCCAATAATGTATTAGTACAAATACAACCATTTTTTGTTTGTTTGTTTTACTTTGGGGTGGATTGGTGTTTTCTGAAACTGAAAAAAGTGATGTTCAGGGAGGATTATTATGATTATTGTGAACTTCTTCTCCTTCCATGTAAAAATCTGTGGCAGAGAGAAAAGCTCAAAGATGAAGATTACGGCAATTCATAGCATTTCTTCATAAATTCTTGGCAGTAAGTAGTTATTCTCAGGGCTTGTGCAATGGGAAACTCAGCACACCTATAACTCAAAGCAAAGCAAGGAAAGGGGAGCACGAGGAAGGTTTATTGCATTTGTTGAAAAGATACATCCATCAGAGCTAAAAGGCTTTTGCATGAATCAAAGCTGAATCCATCTCCAGATCCCAGGCTAGCCATTAGATCTATAAGCAGAGAAATAAAAAAGCAACATACATCAAGAATGGGGGTTAGAAGTCACACCACACAGAAATGGCTTACCTTGAAATCAGGAAAATTGGAGTCTAGCGTAATTATTGCTCACAATATTTTGTGAAATACATGAGTATCTGGGAAAGAGCTGGGTCATGCCAGAGAGATTGACAAAGAGTATGACTGAAAAATATAACAAATACATGTCAGTTCGCAAGTGCCTGAATTTTGTTTACATGACCCTGGAAATGCTGTAATGGTCATAAGTGCAAAGACTAGTTGTGAGTCAATTATTTTAGTGCTGTTGTACTTCTAAGCAAATGGTTGTAAGTCAAGGACTACTTATACTTGGATTAATAACTACACTATTTATTGAATTTATTTATCTATAGAACAAATCATTCAATGTACAACATCCTCACATATGATAACCATGGTTTCTTTCATGCACAAATACAGAAACCTTCAAGTAGCTCTAGAAAGATCCCCCTCCTTCCTTCCAGCAGGAATAGCAAGAAGTTAATGGGGGGAGGGTAAGCAGGATGGAGCCAGAGCAAAAGAGAAAGGTAACTATAGTGGAAAGAGATATAAAAATGGAGGGGGAGAGGAGAAACAAAAAAGGGAACAGAAGGGAAAAGAACTAACCAGACAAAAAAAGAAAAAACTTATGTATGAGAACTCTCTGGGTAATATAAGTCTGTCTGTCTGTCTGTCTGTCCATTCCTATGACAGCCTGAAATACCATTTTTTATAGTAATGTTGTGGGCATATTTGTATAATATTGAATACATTTCTAGCCCATTTTTTCAGGGTTAAAAAATTATGACTCAATAATGTAAAATTCACAACCAAATCTAAAGTCAATATTTACTGTGTAAATCTTAATTAGTGAGATAGAAGAAATTGGAAAGTAGCATCTGGTAACCCCTTGAGTTAAAATGCAGAATACTAAATTCTTCTTATTGTTATTCTTATTATTCTATTCTTTCTACAGGATCTCCAAGCTATGCACAGAAAAAAGAATAACACACATTTCAGTAAAACATAAAACAAGCAAGACAATAAAAAGGATTAAAAGTAAACATATAAATGTATACGTGTTATAGCAAAATTTCTTTGCAAGGGACTCTACACCTGCAGTAAGTGTTAACCGGCAAAATCCTGGATAAACCAGTGCATTATTTTGTGAAATACATGAGTATCTGGGAAAGAGCTGGGTCATGCCTTGTGTATCACAGAGAGTTTGAGAAAGAGTATGATTGAAAAATATAACAAATACATGTCAGTTCGCAAGTGCCTGAATTTTGATTACATGACCCTGGAAATGCTGTAATGGTCGTAAGTGCAAAGACTAGTTGTGAGTCAATTATTTTAGTGCTGTTGTACTTCTAAGCAAATGGTTGTGAGTCAAGGACTACTTATACTTGGATTAATAACTACACTATTTATTGAATTTATTTATCTATAGAACAAATCATTCAATGTACAACATCCTCACATATGATAACCATGGTTTCTTTCATGCACAAATACAGAAACCTTCAAGTAGCTCTAGAAAGATCCCCCTCCTTCCTTCCAGCAGGAATAGCAAGAAGTTAATTGTGGGGGGGGGGGGGTGTAAGCAGGATGGAGCCAGAGCAAAAGAGAAAGGTAACTATAGTGGAAAGAGATATAAAAATGGAGGGGGAGAGGAGAAACAAAAAAGGGAACAGAAGGGAAAAGAACTAACCAGACAAAAAAGAAAAAAAACTTATGTATGAGAACTCTCTGGGTAATATAAGTCTGTCTGTCTGTCTGTCTGTCTATTCCTATGACAGCCTGAAATACCATTTTTATAGTAATGTTGTGGGCATATTTGTATAATATTGAATACATTTCTAGCCCATTTTTTCAGGGTTAAAAAATTATGACTCAATAATATAAAATTCACAACCAAATCTAAAGTCAATATTTACTGTGTAAATCTTAATTAGTGAGATAGAAGAAATTGGAAAGTAGCATCTGGTAACCCCTTGAGTTAAAATGCAGAATACTAAATTCTTCTTATTGTTATTCTTATTATTCTATTCTTTCTACAGGATCTCCAAGCTATGCGCAGAAAAAAGAATAACACACATTTCAGTAAAACATAAAACAAGCAAGACAATAAAAAGGATTAAAAGTAAACATATAAATGTATACGTGTTATAGCAAAATTTCTTTGCAAGGGACTCTACACCTGCAGTAAGCGTTAACCAGCAAAATCCTGGATAAACCAGTGCATTATGATTGCTAGACAATATTGGGGCCAATTAAAATTAGATCAGAGCAAATAAATCTTTCAGATCATCCAGAAGTCCAGGGACTTCCATAGTTCTATGTCATTGCAGAAATATCTTCATTTCCAATTAGGGCGGTGCAGACCTTTCAAGAGGCATTGTCTTGTGGTGAAGGTTCAAGTGGAGGACTACTTCAAAGGGCCCCAGTTCTTACTTGCAGAACAGTTGCTGAAGCTTGATTCACTATTTAAAAGTGCTTTCTGAATATTAACAGAAGCCACTTTCATCAAAGTCAAGCAACAGATCAGCTCTGCTTTGATGCCTTATTGGCAAAGCACCTCATTCAGGTGAATCAGTCACAAATGATACATACAATATATGTAGCCAAAAGAAAGGATATTATAGTTAGGCCTCCAAAGGAGATTTTTTTTCTTTTTACCTGTATCATATACTGGAAGTAAGGGAAGCTGGAAAGGATTGATGGGAGGAATATGGGAAGCTTGAAAGTTTTAGTGCTAATAAATAAAGCCTTAATATGACCACATTTGGAATATTGCATCCAGATTTGGTGACCATATTATGTAGAGAATAGAGATGTAGAAAGTCTGGAAAGAGTGAAGAAAAGAGCAACAAAGATTATTAGGGGGCTGGCGGCTAAAGTATAGGAAGAAAGGTTGCAGGATTTGAATTTGTCTAATCTAGTGAAAAGAAGGACTAGTGGTGACATGCTAGCAATGTTTCAAGAAAAGACTGGACAGTCACTTGTCTGAAATGCTATAGAGTCTTTTGGGTGGTTGGACTAGAAGACCTCCAAGATCTCTTCCAACTCTGTTATTCTGATTTTTGATGATTTTGACTTTTAATGATCAGTAATTCCTTCTGCTAAGTAAACTGGGGTCCCAATCCCACTGAGACAAAGGAAGTGTTTAACAGGAGCTCAGCTATTGTATCTTAGCTGACAGCTTGAGGTTTTTGTCCCTGCAGTAGTGAGTAAACAGAGTTAATATTGCCCAATGTACCAATTATGCCTCTTATTGAAGAAATAGCAACTGAATAGGACCAAAGGCAGAGGAAAAATAAGGGGACAGAAGTGGGTGTAAATAACAGCTAAAACTGGACATAAAGTATGAACTTTACCTTTTAGGAGAATGCCATTAAGAATCCTTTGCAACTGTGAGGCATCTAAGTAGGAGTTCTAATGTAGAACAAACATACACAAACAAAAAATGCTTATGAATACTATGGTTCCTTGGAAACTTGTCTTGTTACTATATCCACTTAATTGAAGGAATAGGGGAAAAGCCACTGTCCATTCCAGGCAGAACACTCCAGATTCAATCTCAGCGCTTGAAGCATAGGAATCCTTTTGTCTTATTTCACACAGTAGTTCTTAATTTTACATCTATGGAAATAATTTTTATTTATTTGGGATAATTTGCAGCCTTGCCCACTGGCTCCATTTTCTTTTACCACTCATTCTACCCCATCCCTCTTCCTAGGCTTCATTTGTAGTTTTAGTGCAAATTTAGTTTGGTTGTTTATTTTTGCACTGTTCCAGATAGCACATTTTAAAAATGCAAGAAAGAATTGCACTTGACAGATGTCAGAGGAAGATACAAAATTTAGATTTTATCATTTTTTTAATGGGCTAATTTGAAGATATTGTTTCTTCTCCAAATTCCCTTGATTCATTTATTATTGGGAAATACAAATATGCATACAGAGATGTTTTCTTTATCATATTCTGTAGGCAAATAATCAGCTAATTTTAGTAACAAATATTCAAGAAGTAGATTTCTCATAATATTCCGTTGCCTTAAAAATTACCAAACAGAGGAAAAGCAGCAACGTATATGCTGACTGCTTGAATGAGCTTCCTATTTCCACATAAAGAAGATAATAAAATAAAACAAATAAAACTGAAGCAGGCAGAGAAAAGCAGATGAGTGTTCCTGGTCACTATGGACAGGCACTCCTCAGTGACTTAGATGGTGACCACCATCTTCTCAATTAAGCCAAAATCAAGGTAAAAGTACCAGTGACTTGGGGGGTTCAAAGAATTGCAGATGTTTAGAAATAATAATTACAAACAACAACAAAAGATTAATCAATTTACAAACTCAGCAGGAATGGGAAAGCAAAATAGAAAACTAAAGCAGAGGAATTTCTAGAGCCTGGTCTAGAAATCTCTTAGGACTGGAGCAGGAAACCTCCAGCCAGCCTGAATAGCCCATCTAGTCTCTTTTTCTTCCTTAAGGACAGGACAGAATAGGAAATTTCAAAAGCCAAGGGAGAGGCTACGTGGGTGAAGACAAGACTAGATCTCTCCCTTATCCTGCAGGTTTCCTTTGAGGAATGGGGGGAAAAAGTTGAAATCCCTCTTCTTCATTCATATGATGGCTACTGTGTTTTTATATTATCTGTACCCAAAGTCATTTCTAGTCTTCTATTTTTTACACTTAGGTCTCAACTATAGCTCCTGAGAAATTATTAGGGAAAAAAAGGAGGATGATTTGTTTTGGCATGCTAAAGAGTTTTAATAGGAGCCCTAGAAGCTGCATAGAAGCTGCAAATATCTGGCTTGCAGCAAGGACTTGATTGACTCAGGAGACTCCTATCATTTTCCTTCTTTGCCCTGACTGCTCCTGAAGACAAATGGTGTGCACCTTTCACAGTCAGCATTGCTGTTTTCACCTTTTATGTGCTGATACAACTATTAGCTGTGAGAGGTCTGTTATACAGAGGCTTTTGGCAGCAATTTTTCTCTCGGCTAAGTCAAGGAGTCCTTTATAACAGTTTATTAAGCCATTAAGATCATCTCCTGTGAACCCATGCAGCTTGGCTCAGAAAGAATGCAAATCAATTACCCAAACATTGACTGATGCCTCCTTTCCAAATGTGGAAAGTACAAACTGGAAGTAATTCTGATAGACTAAAATATGATCCAGGAAGCCACATCTATCTGTAGCCAAGGGTTACAGTTAATTGCTTGTTTGAGGAACATTTTTCTGCCCACAAACAATCAACTCCAAACCATCTATTGTGTTCTAGCCAGGTCCCTTGTCTGATTTGTCATAACAACTAGCAAATCAATAGCATTTTGAGAGATACCCTTGAGATCTGCATGGTTTAAAAGCAAGATGGGAAAGTTCCCTTTCTCAATTCTACAAACCTTATTAATTCTCACTTTTATTTCCACTCAACAAACCTGATAAGCATATCTTAAGAAGACACTTTCATAGTCGTCTGGATTCCAGATGAGCTTATCCTGCATAAAAAAAATATTATGCATGTATAAAAATCAGCTGCAAAATATCAGTCCACGTGAAACACCTCACTATTATTCACTCATTATGTTTCTAGCCATTTACAACAGGCAACATTGCACAGCCAACCTCAGAAGCCTGACAGTGACAAAAACAGCCCTATTATCCGATCCTTCATGTCTTTCTTATTTATCTAATTAAATTCCATCCAGTGGCACCCCGTGTCCAAACTTCAAATTGCTCCAGGCCATTTGTGAGTGCCTCATCTAGAAAAAAGCCTGCATGATACATTATTCATAAAACAACACGGTGTTATTTTATGAAAGCTTTGTGAAAGAACAAGTTTTCAACAAAGTCTCAGGGATGAGGGCAGCTGGCAGTGATTTGTGGGGGGAAAAGTGTCAGACTTAGAGAGCAAGAAAGAAGAGGAATGAGACAAAAGAGTGTCCATAAAGCTGGGATCTTCTTGAGTATAACCCTGTCTTTGAGATATGCAACTTATGAGTTCTTTAATGCTGGTTAAACACCAAAGAGGTCACCATCATCTGAAAAAAAAAAAAAGGAAACTGGCACACTCTCACTGGTACTGTATGGATTCGAATCAGCTGAAGCCAGGCTTCTGCAATTTGGTGCCCTCTAGTTTGGTTTAGACTACAACTCCCTTTGCCCATGCTGGTTAGTGATGAGAGAGATGCAGACAGCACACACGGAGTGAAAGCTGCTTTAAACAATAACCTTTTGGCAATTATTGTACTTCAAGCATTTCTGAACTACTAATGTGTAGGACTACTAGCCATCACTGTGGCTATATCTAACTTCTCTGAACTACTGATTTATTACCCCAGCAACAGTGGAGAGACTCTGCACATTGCTAGTGCATAATTGTTTCAGAGCAAATTACTGAATTCACAAGACCCCCTAGATTAAAAGAAGGCTTGTGTCATCCACATCAAAGGTTGTTGACTTATACAGCTGTGGATTCTTCAGCAAACTATGGTTAAACCAAACCATGTTTAAACCCACCTTGGAATGAGATGTGTTCATTCTGTAAACAGGAGTATCCAACTTTGACCACTTTAAGACTTGTGGACTTCAACTCCCAGAATTCCCCAGCCAGTCATGCTTAAAGTGGTCAAGATTGGATGCCCTTATAGAACCCTTGAATATTTCATTGTTTTTCCAAATTGGGGAGTGATGGATAAGCCCCTTGGCTGTGTTTTTATTTTTGTTTTCTGTTTGCATTTTGGGTCCAGATGCTATATTTTCTGAGTTACTATTGTCTTTTTATGTTACTATTTGTGACCCACTCAGCTAGGGGGAGTATCCAGACTGAATATAAACTAGGAAACCAATAAATGTTGAAGAGATGCAGATAGCTGTCATTATTCATGGGACACCCATTTCAATCTCATTATCCATGACTGTGGATAATAAGATTTTGAAAAAAATTGCACTTTAAGAATGTTTCAAGCCTGTCCACCACTGTGTTCATGCATAAAATACCTCCCCCCAAAAGGCTATACTTTTTGCTGCAAATACTGGTCTGATCTCATTTTAGTGATATATATAAATAAAATGAGGGCCACCCAAAATGGAGAGGGGGATGGCTCCCCCTCCCCTTGGCATCAATGAGATTTTCAGAAGAATCTACCTTAGGGAAGAGCATTTGCTTCCTTTCCAGCATGAACGCTAAGTAATTTTAAAAGCTATAAAACCATGGTTCCAATGTCCTCTAGTTGGTCTTAAGTTATTTAACCTATCTCTCTCAGGGGGTTGCAATACTTCCACTGTTGATAAAATGGTTGCACTTTACTTGGTATAAATTTGGAGCAGCTTTTTGACTTTAGTGTTAAATAGCATGGTGTCACAAGGACAATTAGGCAATCTATTTTTCAGAGTAAGCTAAGATTTAAAAGAATAAAATAGTGAAGTACTCCATCTCCCTTTTCATTGATCTTGAGTGTTACAGCGGTGGCATTAAATGCAAAACAAATAGTCTGGCCTATTCATCTCAAGAGAATAAGAAGATGAGATTTCAAACAGAAGAAAGGATAGTCCCGTTTTTCAATACTGCCAAAGAGGCAAACTGTCAATATTGTATTTCATTTTACTGATGATGGGAAAACATACTGCCTCATCTTTGCTTAATTCCCTCTGATAAATAATAAGAATTTAAAACATGATATAATTACAATATCTAATTATAATACATACACTTTTTGCTAAAGCCTTATTCACCTTGGGATAAGCTTTAGCATTCCAGAAAAGATTAAGTAAAGGTCTTCAGGTGGCCTGGAGATAACATCAAAATAGGCACTAGGTGAGCCTCTATGAAAGAACATTACTGTAATTGGGATGCCACCACTTCAAAGACTCTTTCACTAGTGACAACTAACTTTACTTCAGGTAGTAATGGCACTTAGATGAAAACAGAGATATCCATGGAGGCCTAAGGAAGGCAGAAATTCTTTAGGTGCCATACTCCCAAAGGCTTCAGCATGAAAATCTGTCACTTCAATGGTTAATAAATAAAATCATGACTTAGCATGCCCCAGTATAAAATCTAATGCTAATCTTGTTTCTACATCTCTAAATACAGGGTGACTGCTGTGGCTTCCAAGAGGGTTCAGACCCACAGCTGCTTTTCAATTCTGTCTGAATCATAGAACATCAATAATAGATGTCTTTCATTTAAAGTAAAAATTCTTCACCTCTAGGAGATGGCCCAAAAGGAAGATAATTATCTCCAGACCTTAAAGATCAATTAGTCTACAAAGGCTGTACAACTATTTCTATTGGGGTAGGGCAACATTTTGATGTCCAAGGGCCAATGATTTTTTAGTTTCCTTTCCTCTGCAATTTTGGCTGGAGTTTAGGATTTGTTATTTCTTTATGATCTAACTTAAATTTAGCTAAGAGATTAAATTGTCCCTCAAATATGGGTTTTATGTATTTGCGGCCTCAAAAAAGCACTTCAATATTGAGAAGTTTGGAGATTGCACACAGTGTACATCCTCAGATCATTCGTTCGTTATATCCACATACCTTTGTCCCCTGTGAACTGATTTCATTGTCTGTCTCCCTAAAAGGGAAAAAAAATCACACACATAAAAATGAGAACTTCATCAGAGTAGATTATTTTTTATTTATTGCTTACAAGATCCAGAGAGGACAGTGTGTTATCATATTCAACCTTGATGTGTGTTTATCAAGCAACAGTGCACAAATCATTATCTGTGCCCAAGAACTAAATTATGGATGTTTCCACAAATTCTTTTTGACAAGGGAGACCAAGGTCCACATAAGTGGTATGACTTTCTGAAAAGAAAATCCAGAATGTAAATTATATTTTATTGTCTGATAAATCAAGGCAATGGAATTTTATTTATTACACTCTAGCAACAGCTCTGTGCACAGTTAAGTGAATGTGAAGGGATCTAGGATAATATAGCTTTGCCTTAGGTCAAATTATCTTGATAATCAATAACACAATTATATTAGACTAAAATATCACATAATGTGGAGATTTATATTTGGTTTTCCTAATGGAGCTTCTCAAATGATTTAATTTCATCAACAATAAAAAAATATCTTCTTCAGCTAAATGCTACATATTATTACATACAAACTTCCAAACATAGTCAATTTCTCTGTGTTACTCCATATTGATCATCAGATATTATCAAATGTAAAACACCACTCCATGACAAGGATTAAGTACTGTCAAATATCAGCCATCAAACCTAAGAACAAAATATCATTGTCAACTAATGATTAGTTAAAATAATCTCATCAAATATTCATCAACTTCTTTTTAGACAGATTTAATTTGTCATAAGCAGGTAGACAAATGCATGTTTGCCTTTAAGAAGACCGAGCTTCTTTAAATAGAATACAATAGAGCTGGAGCTTGAAGGTCTTCTAGTCCAGTCCCCCGCTGAAGCAGGAGAACCTATACCATCTCAGACAAGTGACTGTCTAGCTTCTTTTTAAAAATCTCCAGTGATGGAGTGCCCACGATTTCTGGAGGCAAGCTGTTCCACTGATTAATTTCCTCACTGTCAGGAAGTTTCTCCTTAATTCTAGGTTGCTTCTCTCTTTGTTCAGTTTCCAACCATTGTTTCTTGTCCTGCCCTCTGGTGCTTTGGTGAATAACATGACTCCCTCTTCTTTGTGGTAGCCCCTCAAATACTGGAATACTGATCTCATGTCTCCCCTATTTCTTCTTTTCTTTAGATTAGCGAGACCCAAGTCCTGCAGCAGTTCTTTGTATGTTTTAGTCTCTAAGCCTTTGATCAACTTAGTTGTTCTTCTCTGAATTTTTTCCAAACTCTCAACATCTTATGGTGACCAAAATTGGCTGCAATATTCCAGGTGTGGTCTTACTAAGGTTTTATTAAGCGGTACTAATACTTTGCGTGATCTTGATTCTATGCCTCTGTTTATACAACCCAGGATTGTATTAACTTTTTTGGCTGCTGCTGCACACTGCTGGCTCATGGTCAAGTGATCATCCACTAGGATTCCAAGATTACTGTTTTTAAGCGAGGTCTCGCCCAGTCTGTACTTGTGCCTTTGATTTTTCCTGCTTAAATGTAAAACTTTGCTTTTCTCCACATTTTGTTGGATAGGGTCCATTGTTCAAGTTTGTCAAGATCTTTTTGGATCCTGAGTTTGCCTTCTGGGGTGTTGGCTACTCCTGCCAGTTTGGTGTCATCTGTAAATTTGATGAGTTCCCCTTCAATTCCCTTATCAAAGTCATTTATGAAGATATTGAAGAGTACTGGGCCTAAGATGGAAACTTGTGGTACCCCACTGCTTACTTCTCTCCATGTGGATGTAGTGCCATTGAGGACTATCGTTGAGTACGCTTTGCCAGCCAGCTACAGATCCATCTGGTGGTGATGTTGTCTATTCCACCTTTTTCTAGCTTACCAAGGAGTAGGTTGTGGTCTACTTTATCAAATGTCTTACTGAAATCTAAGTATACTATGTCCACAGCATTTTGCTGGTCTACTAATTTAGTCACTTTATCGAAGAATGAAATAAGATTGGTTTGGCATGATTTGCTTTTAACAAACCCATGCTGGCTACTGGTTATGACTTTCTTTTTTTCTAGTTGTTCACATATCTGTTTTTTGATTATCTTTTCTAGGATCTTACCAGGTATTGATGCTAAACACATTCGTCTGTAGTTTCCTGGGTCTGTTTTTTTTCCTTTCTTGAAGATGGGAACAACATCAGCCATTTTCTAATCATCAGATATTTCCCTGGTGCTCCAGGATTTGTGAAAGATATAGTACAATGGTTCTGAGATAACATCTGCCAGCTCCGTCAGAACTCTGGTTGTAATCTGTCTGGTCCCGGTGATTTATATTTGTCAAGGTCGGATAGGTGTTCTCTTATCATTTTCTTGCTTATTTTAAATTTTGTTTCTAGTTTGTCTTTTGCCGTGGGGTTTTTTTTTTTTTGTATTAGGTATAATGCCAGAAAAGATTGATAAACAAAGCATATATTTGATTTTACATGTGATAACAGCAGCAAGAATCATATTCGCACAACATTGGAAAAAAGAAGAAATACCACCAGAGGAAGACATAATTAAAAAAATACTAGAATGTGTGGAAATGGACAGACTTACTTTAAGGTTGAAAGAAAAAGAAGAAACAGAATGCTATCAAACTTGGGACTTATTTTATCAATGGCTGGAGAAAAGAATAAAAGATTAGCAATTAAATTTGTATTAGTGAATGATAAACTCAGACAACACATTTGTTGAACAAGTACTATTAAACTGTATGAAAAAAAATAATAAAAACTTTTTTAAAAAATAAAAATAAATTAAAGTCAGCTCTTTTGAAGTTTAAGACCCTGGTTGGATTGTTTTCTGTTGTTAGTGTTTGCGTTATATTAAATTCCAGTATGATGTGGTCACTTTCGCCCAAGGTTACGGTAACTTCAACTCTCTCTATCACTTCTTCTCTATTAGTAAGAATTAAGTCCAATATGGCTTTACATCTAGTTCCCTCCTCCACCTTTTGGATGACAAAGTTGTTGGCTAGGTTGGTTAGGAATCTGTTTGATCTACCGCTCACTGCAGAGTTTGTCTCCCAGTTGATATCTGGATAGTTGAAGTCTCCCATTACTATTGTGGTATGCTTCCTACATATATTTGTTAACTGGTTGGCAAAGAGTTCATCTATTTTTTCTGATTGGTTGGGTGGTCTGTAATATACACCTATAGTGATGTCACTTTTTTTCTCTTTTATAATAACCCATATGCATTCTGGGGAGATTTTATCTTTGATCATGTGCATTTCTGTAGATATGTAGTGTTCTCTTACATATAGTGCTACTCCCCCTCCTCTTTTTGTAGACCTGTTTCTTTCGAACAATCCATCTATCAGTCCATTCCATGGGTTTCGTCCCACCAGGTATCTGTAATACCAACTATGTTATACCCTCCCTTGTGTACTATTGCTTCTAGTTCACCCTGTTTGTTCCCCCAAGCTTTGAGCATTTGTATATAAGCATTTAAGACTTTTATGCCTGTCCTTGGGTATGTTTCCTGCAGCTCCTGAATATTGTTTGAGTTTTTCTTTTTTCTCATCTCTACCCACCTCATTGTTTGATTTGTTTTCTTGGGATTTATGATTGGTTTTGGGTTCTAGAGATTTTGAAGATTGGTCACCCTCCCCCCTCAATTTTAGTTTGATAAAAAAGGATAAAGAAAATGGTGGATTTTCTTTGTCTGATACAATACATGTTCTAATTGTAATTACTTTACCTTATATTGCCTTGACTTTTTAGAAAGATTCGTAGAAGAAACTTTAATTCTTGGCTTTGTGGTGATGTAGTTGGAATAATTGTGTAATCGCCAGGCTTCAATGGACAGGAAACGGTGATATCTCGTGTTACCTTAAGCTGCGTGTCATGAACTATGGTTCTACCCTTAGACAAAATATTATGAAAAGAAATTATTAGTTACTTTGAAGTTATTTTAACTTGCAGCTTTTTTTGCTACATACACAGACACACACATTCACACAGACACACACACTTACATATTTATTCACCAATTGATGGTAAGCATGCTAGAGTTGGTTGAATGGTCAAGGTTTCATGGATATCCATAGCAAAATCACAAGCCCATGCATGCACTTTATTTGAAAGTGAGATTCATTTGTTATAAATGGGCTAATCTCCAAATATCTATGCCTGAGACTGTATTATCTGTAATATATGGAAGATATAGCAGAACCAACAAAAGGAGTGGGAAATATTTAGAGAGAGGAGATTTTATCTGCATCTTTAGGCTTGTCATGAGCATTCTGAACCTTGTATCAAACCCACTTCTATAAGAAAATAATAGACCCTGCTATATTTCTTGTGGCTCCAATATTTTCAACAAAATGGCACAATAAATAAAATGCAACCACTATTACTGTGATGACATATAAAGACAACATGATAAAAAACCCAACTAAAAAAATTCTTACGAAAACACTGGAGTGTATACTATAAATCCCATTTAGAATGGTTAGTCGGAGTAGGCACAATACTTTATGAGCAATGCCTTTTTTGGGTGGGAAGGACACACACACACTGCTATCTTGCAAAAAAGAAAGGAAAAATATTTTCAAAGTGGGAGGGGGGCAAAGGAAGTGTTGAACTTAGAACGTGATGAATTAAAACTTCAGTAAACCTAAATAGGGACAACTCTTTTTAAGCAAATGGAATTTTTTATGTACAATCATTTCTTTTGTTCAAGATATAGAGAAGCTTTCATGGTATTTGGATATTTTTTAACTGAGCATCTTATCCTTGAAACTGTCTTGATGCAAGCAAGCTATTCTAACAATGGAAAAAGAAACTCCAGATTTTCTGTATATAAATATTGGATAAATGGTTTTTCTTTCATTTACGTTTTCCTCCTCCCCCCACCCCCTGCTGCCTTTATAATGTATACATTTTATGCTGTTTTTAATTTATTTGTTGTGTATGAAGTATTTTGTAAACGGCTGTAACATAATTAAGTACAGAAAGCAACATAAAAAGATATAATCATGGTTTAGTTCATCACAGCACAGCCATCACTCAGTCTGAGAAACCCTCTTTTCTCTGGGGAATAGTTACTGAACTGATGAACAATTTGTACCTAATTACTGATATTTCAGAGAGCCACTTTGGTGTAGTGGTTAAGTCCAAGAAAGGAGGCAATGGCAAACCACCTTGTCAAGAAAACTGCAGGGACCTGTCCAAGCAGCAGTCAACATTGAATCAAAGACTTGCATGTGCAACACACACACACACACACACACANAGAGAGAGAGAGAGAGAGAGAGAGAGAGAGAGAGAGAGAGAGAGAGAGAGAGAGAGTTCAGAGAAAAGTAAAGAGGAGCTCATCATAAAATAGAAGAAAAGTGCATTAAGATAGAATTTGAGAATAGATATCTATAATAATTACCATAATCATTTCCTTTCACATTCTCCTTCCCTTGTTGTAGTATACTGCCTCACCCACACCACTTAGTGCTAATAGTCATAATTTTCTGATCCAAAAAAAATTCTACTAGTTAGGAAGATGCACACACAATGAATGTCAATGATCCAATTTGTGTTCTTATATGAATGATGTTTCCTGCCTGTGGAAATTATTGGTGTGGTCAAGGCAGAGGCATGCTATTAAAAGTTCTGAGCAGATATTGATTTCAATTGTATAATGTTGCAAAAAAAGAGACATTTCTTAGCTCAAAAGAATGGTGACAACATTGTACAGAATAAGAAGAAAGAATGGAGTTCATAGATAATGCGTTTTAATGCTGGTTTCATTACTTATGATCCCATCTGCACTGACATGGCTTGTCATTATATGGCAATCTATTCAGACTTCATGCATGTAGTATGAACATGGATGAGGTAACAAGGCTGTTGGTAGCAATGAAGCATGCAGCTCACTGCATGAAACATTATAGTCCAACCAGACAAACATGCAAAGTGCAGCATATATTGGAAGTGACCAATATTATTTTTCTGGGAAGTGCATCTTTTCCAGTGACTGGAAGATCATTGTGGTGATTTTTGGCTTTTGCTAAAAAAAAATACAATTCCCTGGGGCACTTGGATGTTAGGTGGCTCTTTAAATGCAGAATTTCAATGTGTCATAAAAGTGATTTTCTATTATATTTTGTCTCTGAAATCTTGAAGAAGTTGAGGATTACAAATGGGTTGATGAAAGAGCATAAGAAGTATGTGAAGCTCAAAGAACAACACAGTATGAGATTATTCATAGAATCCCAGGGCTTGAAGGGACCTTGGAGATCTTCTAGTCCACCCCACTGCTCAAGGCAGGAGCCTTATGCCATCCTGGTCAAATGTTATTCTGTTCCTGCAAACATTGATATTGACTATGTTCATTTTTACTTCCTGCTCCTGGAAGATTTCTTAATATGAAATTGTAATGCTCTTTCTCTAATGCAGATGATAATCCAAAATAGTTCCAGGTATGCAGTATATCTCAAATATGCCTACGTGAAAACTCTTTATATATGATGAGTGTTGTGTCCTGAGCCTGCAAAGGCAGGCTCGGGACGTTGCAAGAGTCCCGGGCATTTGCAGAAGCTGCCTGGAACCAGACTGAGTGGCGC